TATGTTGTTGCACTTTTTAAGAGCAGTTTATCCGTGTTCATGTTTTTTTAATACCGGTTGTCATTGGTATCATTGGTTCTCTTGACTATTCTATTGATTTTCCTGAATTATCAACCAAAGTTGTTATTTTATTGCTTGGGGAATTGATGATGTGATGATCCGAACCAGTACTGGATATCATGTTTGTTTATGCTTTCTAATTTTTTTTCTTCTGGGTTTTGTGTTTCTTAAATAAGTCCCCCCTCCCCCTAAATCATATTTGGGCAAGTTAAGTTAAACGGTTTTATTGTGAACTCAATCTTTTACCATTAATTGATGAAATTTTACAGAAAGCAGATACTTTTAGTAATCTGTCTATCAGTATCAATTTACTTATAAAAAGATCCATGGTTCTGCGTTTGCTATCTTTTTCTTTCTAAAGCAAAAAATGGTGCACTAAAACTTGAATGATTATTAATCATGTGAACATTTGTAATATTAAGCATGGCACTAAAACTTGGGGTATTTCAAATCACGAACTTGTGATTTTCTGTAGTTTGAAGTTTGGATTTACAGAGGTCTTTACTTGTATGTTTGCAACTTCGTGCCATCTCAGTTTATTCATTTATCTCATTAGCAATATATCTGGCTTCCTTCTATTTTTGAGATATGATACAAATTTCTATATGCTATGCTTTTGAGAGAAAGAAAACTGATCTTTGTCACTAATGGTTCAAAGAGGATAGAGGAGACAATTTTCAGCCATGGGACAGCAGTGGAAATAAATCCCAACGAAAACAATCTATTGTATGCTTGGTTCCCAGCAATTTATCTTGGTGAACTAGGGGTTAACTCTTTCTTGCTTCAATATAAGAGCACAAACAACTGTGATGTTAAAGTGGTAGTAAATGGCCACCAGATTCGGCCTCAGCCTCCGAAGTCAGGCAAAAGAGATTTTAACTTGATGGAAATGGTGGATGCATTCTATGATATGGGTTGGTGGGTCGGAGAGATTACACAAATTCTTACAGAAGAAAAGTATATGGTCCGTTTAAAATTCACAAAGCAGGTAAAGGAATGCAGTCCTTCAGAATTGAGGCCTCATGTGGAATGGACGGAGAGAGGATGGATTACAAAGACCAATGGAACATGGGTTGATTGCTCTAAGGTATGCATATTTTTCCATTGTTTTATATTGGGAAAAAAGAGAGCGGGAGAGGAGAGGGGGTTGCGCAGTTGTCATGGCTTGTGTCTTTGTGGGTATAGTTGTAAACTTGTAAACATGTTTGAATCATCCTCGGTCTTCGAAATATAATCATTAAGATGCAATTTTATCAGGTAAATTTAAGTTTCTATGCTGGAAAGCATACATGGGCTCAAATTATTGGTGGGTGGCTAAAGTTTTGGCCTTTCGTTTCAGGATGCTCACTTTAGTGTGGATTATGAAGTACAATCAAAGCGTGCATGCGAGAGTTTCAGAAGCTCCGAGGTAGCTACAGCACTTGAAAGTTCAGGTGCTACCAAGGATAATAATGAAGTAAAAACAGCTTGTTCAAGGATTTCATGGAAGAATCAGTTGGAGCACTTGAGTCCTTGCATTGATAAATCACCTTATGGAAAGACCAAAAAGAAACTAAAAATTAATCAGAAACCTAATGATGATGCAACAATTTTACGTCCTTCCAAGAAGTTAACATGGGGACATCCAGAAGACTCCTTATCTTTTACACCATCATTTTCAAGGAGAACGCCAGTTAAAACATTGAAAAAAGAAGCTCCAGTTAGAAAGGGTGCGGTAAGTGATCTGTCAAAACAAATGTTGTTGGTATATATATTCTCCTATTGCTGAGTGTTCCTTTGGGGTAAACAAAACCATGACTCAAGTCTTCCCTCTCAAAACCTCATTAACTTGCTCTCATTCTATGAATTTTATAAGTTGATAGCGTTGATAGCATCTGAAGACTGCCATTTGAAAGTAAGAAGTGCTATATAAACAAAAAAGAAAAAGAAAAATCAAAGAGAGGCATTATTTTTTTCTCGAGATTTGTTTCTTCTGACACCTGATGGTCCTGATTGGAATGCATTTTATTCCTATTGCAGAAGACTAAGCAACAACAGGTTGGAGAACTGGACAATCAAGAAATCATTTCTTATAAACAAAAAGGAAAACCACGAAATTCTCAAGGTGATATCCCTTGGCCAAGAGTGAGACATGAGGGGAGGGGCAGGCCACTGAAATTGCCTGGTGAAAATATCACTAGCCAGAGGCATATATCCACAGTGATTAACATTACATGATATTATTTCTGTATTAACATATTCATTGTGTAATCCACATAAAACAAATTTGTATAAATTGTTGCAGTCAAGAAGGGCAGTGAAATTGAAAATGCTGATGAAGAAGATGTTGAAGATGAGTATGGACTGGACAACATTGAATCTTCTGGTATAAGGTCAGATTCTGAGCTAACAGGGGGATCTCATGCTGGAACATCATGTCTGCTCCCTGTAGAGGTATATCTGAAGCCTGTATGCTATGCTTCCTTCTATATCTCTTTACGTATCAAAACTGCGGTCTGCATTAAGCTTTGGGGTAGAAAGGCCAATATGATGACAAGGAATAAAACATTTATGTTCAAGAGAAAGGAATGATTCTCCTGTTAGCTAACTGGATACATGCTAATTTGGCAATTAAAGTAGTCACGGTTGAAATACAGAGTGGCCTTTTTTTTTTCTTTTTAATTATATATAGCAGTGTTACATAAAACAAGAGAGCTTAATTATACTTCAGAGGTAAAAGTGAAAGGAAGGACTAAGATGGCGCATGCCCATAATTCTAGAAATCTTTAATATTGACCTTACTAGAGGATTTGTTTTTTTTGTTTTTTTTGTTTTTAAAAGACAATTGTTAATAGAAAAAACTATGATGTTTTATTTTAATTTTTGAGGCATCCTATTGAGATTTATTTCCCTCTAACCCAAGTTTGTTGATCATCATATTTCTTATTGATTCATTCAGGAGGTTGAATGGAATGAAAATGGGGTGAGCAATGAAATAAAAGGGAAGGGAAAACTGCCTGAATATCTTGTTGAACACCCAAAAGATCCAGCAACAGGTGTGTATAATATGTCAGAGCTACACAATTCTCGATAGACGTGTATATTTTGAAAATCTAATTTGTACCAGCATATGGGTGAGGCACATAATGGCGTTGGATCTTTTGCTGCAGATCATGCGAATGATATATTTGAATTGCCTGTAATAACAATGTGGGATTTGACAGGTATGAGTAGTTAACAACCTGAATTAAGCACAATGGAATAGAAAACTTGTGGCCTGAATAAATTCTATTTTTTGCAGGTGAGAAGCACAACGGAACTGGAGTTGTTGCTCAAGTTGAATCGACTAAGACTCAAGTTGTCAATGATAATGGTATGGTACATCAGAACCTGGAAAAACCTTTAGTTTATGTAAAAAGAATTACAGGAACTCGTGTGCA